CACGCAGGTGTCTCCTCCCGGAGCTGGGAGCCTGAGGCAGGGACACCGCACCCCCCAGACCCCTCCCTCCAGGGCCTCTGCCCGGCTTCTGGTGGTGTCGCTGTCCTGGGCATGGAGACCAGACATGTGTCCCCATCTCTGCCTCTGCCCGTGACCTCGTGAGGACACCGCTCCCTGAATGTGGGGTGACGTCCTCTTAACTGGCCTCACTGCAGAGGCCCCAAGGCGAGGTTCCGTGGTGGCCTGAGTGCCAGGGGCTCCCCCAGGGCAGGGGACGCCGAGCACACTCAGCTCCCCCTGCGCCAGGCCTCGGGAAGGGGGCAGAAGCGAGGCCTGTCCTGCGGCTGCTGCTCCAGGGGCTGGGGACGGGTCTGGGGGGAGGGGGCTTGTGCAAGGAGCACCCCTGAGGGGAGACCCAGTGAGGCAGGCCAGGACCCTGTGGGGCCTTCCCAGGACAGACCGCCCACCCAGTCCTCCACCTGCCTTTTGTCCGTAGAAAACCTTTAGTCACAGAAGAAACTTCATCAGAGAAGTGAGAAAAATGCAAAGAAAACTAACACACAGTAGTAGTTTGGTCATTAAAATCTAGGACCTTTAGTTCCTTCTTGAGGGCCACAGATGATATTCCGAGCTGTGTCCTGTGAGCCCTCTTGCAGATACTGAAGCCCCCGCCAGGGGGAAAAGTAACTACATCATGGCCAGACTGCAGCATGACACGCTGTCAGTCGCCGAGTCATGTCCGACTTTGCGACCCCAGGGACTGCAGCACACCCGGCTCCCCTGTTCTTCACTGTTTCCCGGAGTTTGCTCAAGTTCATGTCCATTGAATTTGTGATGCCATCTAAGCATCTCGTTCTCTGTCATCCCCGTCTTCCTTCAATCTTTCCCACCATCAGGGGCTTTTCCAATGAGTCAGTTATTCCCATCAGATGGCCAAAGTGTTGGGGCTTCAACATCAGTTGTGACATGAAAGTGAAAAGTGAAAGTGAAAGTCGCTCAGTCGTGTCTGACTCTTTGAGACCCCATGGACTATACAGTCCCTGGAATTCTCCAGACCAGAATACTGGAGTGGGTAGCCTTTCCCTTCTCCAGGGGATCTTCCCAACCTAGGGATCCAACCCAGGTTTTCCGCATTGCAAGCAGATTCTTTACCAGCTGATCCACAAGGGAAGCCTGAGAATAGTGGAGTGGGTAGTTTTTCCCTCCTCCAGCGGATCTTCCCGACCCAGGAGTTGAACCGGGGTCTCCTGCATTGCCGGCGGATTCTTGACCCGCTGAGCTGTGAGGGAAGCACGGTACCACAGTTCTGAGAACTGGTCTCAAGGAGGTTGGAGCAGCCTGACCCAGGGGCTGAAGACTAACTACCAGAACAAGGCGATGCTGGTCAGACCACTGGTGACAGATTTCCAGACGCCCCTGCTGTTGCTGCGTGGGGCCCCTCCGTGGTCTACGGACGCGTGTGAGCACTGATCGTCTCCTTGGGGCTCAGACGGTAAAGAAGCCAGCTGCAAGGCAGGAGATCTGGGTCCGATCCCTGGGTCAGGAAGATCCCCTGGAGAAGGAAATGGCAACCCACTCCAGTATTTTTGCCTGGAGAATCCCATGGACAGAGGAGCCTGGCGGGCTGCAGTCCGTGGGGTCGCAAGAGTCGGAAACGACTGAGCGACTGACACACNGCAGTCCGTGGGGTCGCAAGAGTCGGAAACGACTGAGCGACTGACACACACTTGTCGGTGGGGAAATGGCCTTTGAGCAGGAGTCTGGCCTCCTCTCTGGTTCCTGGTCTCTGAAGTGAAGCACACGTTCCTTTCCCACCAATCTGGCGCCCCTGACATGTGACGGGGAGGTGAGCGGGGCCCGAATGGTCCCGGAGCCTGGGCTTTTCTAGGGCTCCATCTGAGCTGGCGCCTGAAACGGCACCAGAAACAATTCTGAAGCCCCCTGCCTTCCCAATGGTAGTTCTCTGTTCTGCTTTCAACTTGCCTGATTCTCATATTTGAGATGGGGGTTTCTTTTTTTTTAATATTGCTACTTTATTATGTAATATTTTTGAAGATATATTAGATTTTTTTTTAACTTTTCATCTTGTATAAGAATAAAATAGAGTATAGCTGATTAAAAAAAAAACAAAAAAAAAAAACATCAATTCTTCAGTGCTTAGCCTTCTTTATGGTCCAGCTCTCATAACCATGCATGACTACTGAAAAAACCATAGCTTTAGCTTTATGGACCTTTGTTGGCAAAATAATGTCTCTTCTTTTTAATATGCTTTCTAGGCATTTTTTTTAAAATTCTAAACTTCTACAGTCCCAAAGAAAGTTCTTATTTAAAACTCATAAGAGACGGGTAACCTTTGTTAAGGATTTTATACTATCATTAACTAATTTGAAATCTTTCATTTTTTCAGCATTATATTTATTTCTCCCGAGAACAGGGCTACTAATTTCTGGTTCTCCTTACATAGTGGGGATACAGCCTGAAAAATTAGCGAAGTTACCGTTAATTTTGACTCTCTGTAACAGTGATCCAAAATAACAGTGTCTAAAAAAACAAACAAAACCAAAACAAAATAATGTCTAAACAAAACAGGAGTTTCTTTGTTTCTCATATAAAAGTCAAAACTTATTTGACGAATCGGCCCCAAGAAATCAACAGTGGCTCGAGCTCTTTCTGCCTTGTGTCTCCTCCAGCCCACACTCCAAGATGTCCACACCACCATGTCCGCATCCCAACCAGTAGGCGAGGAGAAAGGAAAAAGGATAGACATTACATCATTTCCTTTCTATCTTGTTCATTCATCAGAATTTAGGCACATAGTGACACCTGCGGTCTGGGAGGCTGGGAAATATAGCCCTCATTTTGCAGGGCCAAGTTTGGGTACAATACATAGCCTTTGTCACAGAGTTGCTATCAAAAACTAAAGCTCTTAAGTGATATCTTTGTGATTAAGTTATTAAATGATACCATTATGATACAACATATACAGGAAAGGACCCAAAAGAATGCTTTTGTGTTCTGTATGCAAGATATTTCTTTCATTTATTAACTTTAGAATACATAATGTTCAACTCATAGGCATTTTCTTTTATACCTTTTAGAACCTGCTAAAAAGGAAGTTCAGAAAGACAAATCCTGCGAACCCAAGTCCCAAAAAATAGAAGGAAAGTCATGGACAGGTGACTCCTCATTTAATTTTCCTTTCTTTCATACTCCAGAGCAAAAACATTTTGAAAGTGAAGTTGACTATATTATGGCATATGTATCTTATAGGTGAATTTCTGACTTGTAACTGGAACATGAAGTATGCCAAACATGAAGATGAAGAACAGGCAAATTTAATCTGTGGTAACTCGAGGTTCGCAGGTACATGTTAACAAAGCCAGGAAGAACAGATGGCACTCTAATTCAATAACCTTTAATTTACTGTGGTTCCCAATGGTAAGGACCGGACTTAGCCGAGGCACAATGGCAGAGTGACACTTGCGCTATTTTGTCCTTGAGCCAATGGACCTAAACATATTCAAGATGACTGTTTGAGGTGGTAGTGTACACGTAGTGCTATTATAATGCTCTTTAAAGCATATGCATTAGTACAGTTGTCCATTAGTGTCTGCAGGGGATTGTTCCATGAATATCATCCACCCAAAATTTCCCCCCACCACAAATACCAACATTCAAGATGCTCAAACCCCTTATATAAAATCGACTAGTATTTGCATATAACTGATGGATCCTCCCACATACTTTAAATCTAGATCACTTATAATACCTAGTATAATGTAAATGATTTGTAAATAGTTGAAAATGCAATGTGAATGCTATGTAAATAGTTGCCCATGTGTGGCAAATTCAAGTTTTGCTTTCGGGAACTTTCTGGATTTTTTTTTTCCTGAATATTTTTGATCCACAGTTGAAGCCACGGATGCAGAACCTGCAGCTACAAAGGGCCAACTGTATACAATTTTTTTTATGGTTATGTGGCCCTGAAACCACTTTGAAGCTATGATCCAGGTATACAAAGGGAATTAGATATTAAAACAATAGAAATCATTCCAGCAATTCCTCTCCCTTGTAGTTCCACATCTAACTACGTGAGGCAGATGAGGCTCTGTCTTGTTTTTGAAGACTTACAAAGGAAGATCTACTCAACAGAGAGAGCAAAGAATAGCTTTTAGCTCTCAGTAAACCATGTATTTAACAATAATTATCCCAACAAGTATTCATATTTTACTGCAATGCTATTTTATTATTTTACCTTTCACCAACAAATAGTAGAACTTACAAGATAAAAAAATTTTCCTCCTATCTGCAGTTTCTTTTCTCATTTAAGAATGGATCAAATAGCAAACTTTCTATCCTCCAAATATTTGATGAAATTGTATGGCATTGGTTAAGCTCCTGTTGCCTGCTACTTCATGTTCCTCTTCTCCTGATCTTACTTCTTTATTTCAGTTTTGCTCTACCATTTTGACAATTGCATGGGTGATTCTTTTTAAGTTACATCAGATCTCATATGGAAGGCATCAGGGCATGAATGATTGAATTAGTTAATAAATCAATCGTAAATCACTGGGCTCTTCTATGAAATATACTTCATGTTATAACATCAAGCTTCAAGATAAATATATGAGTCAAGCCTCCTGAGGGAGAGGTTATAGTGGTGGTATTTACAGACTTATTTAACTAGCCAGTCCAGACTGCAACTGGCTTCAGGCACAACTGAATCCAAGGGCTCAATAATAGCAGCAGGACACTATCTCTTTGCCTCTCAGCCCTGTTCTTCTCTGTGTAACTTTCAGTTTTAGGTAGTTTTCTCTGTATTGTGGCAAACATTTCCATGAGAGCATCTCTAAGCCTACATCCTACTCGTTCAGGAGTCAGAGTACAAGACCAGTGATTCTCCCCCAGTAGTTGCCCCAAAAGTCCTGAGGCTAATTCTCATTGGCCCATAGTGGATCCCATTGCTGTCATATGTGAATCACTAGCCGGACCTATATCACATGGCCATCCTGAAGCAAGGCTCAGTACCACCTGATACATCAAAACTGACAATCAGGGAGAGATGTTTTCTCAAATTAAAAAAAAAAGGAGAGGGACTTCCCTGGCAATCCAGTGGTTAAGATTCCACACTGCCAATGCAAGGGACATGGGTTCGATCCCTCTTTGGAGAACTAAGTTCCCACATGCCACCAAGCGCGGACAAAAGGATGAAGACCAATAAATAAATAAATAGATAGATAGATAAAAGATACATTTAGGGACTTCCCTGGTGGTCCAGTGGTTAAGACTCTGTGCTGCTGACACAGGGGGCATGGGTTCAATCTCTGGTCAGAGAACTAAGATCCCACATGCAAAAAAAAAAAANTAAGCACCTGCATCTGGATGGCAGAAACCATCGCAGTATTGTAAATTAATTATCTTCTAATTAGAAATAAAAATTAAAAAAATATATCAACCTCAGTTCCTCCTAGACTAGCTCTTCTTAAGTACTTATTTTGGTTGTGAATGCTTATGCTAATTAGGTACTTAATTAGCATGGCTATTAAATACTTCATTTTATTGTCAAATGTTCTAAGATCACACTCCAGAGAATTCATTCCTCTAATAAGAACATGATTGCTGATGGCAGGAGATGGTTTCTTATATAGCTATGTTTTTGCTCCTCCAAAGCTTGAAGAGTAGATTCCGAGGAGCAGATATTTGCATGTGCAAAGATGTATGTGTATGTGTACACTGTCCAATGTGTGAGTACATTTACAAATGCACATACATAAGGGTATGAATGTGGCTTGAATACATATTTTTGGGTACACCAAGGTAGTGGGCTTCATCTTTCTTAAGAAATTACTACTTGAATGAAATATGTAAACACATTTGCTGATAGGAACAATTTATGTACTGTTATATGAAATATATAAATTAGGTTCATCAAGCATATTCAGTAACCTTATCAGTCTTGAGTCTTCTCAATCTAATTTAGAGTTGATATTCCTTTTTCCTCCTCAATTGAAGTTCCCATCATTTAAGCAAATGGTATATGTTCACTTTCTTTTATCAATAAAATCTACCTTGATTAGATAAGTTACTATCTAGTTAACATAATCTAGTAAAAAATCTAAATGATAAATAAAATTAATGTCAGGTCAATGTTAAATATAAGAAAGAATTTTTGAACACAGTCACTTTTTGTTGTTTGAACACTATCATTCATCGCCCTTCACTACAAAACATATTTCATCAAGAAGCCAGGCAGGGACTTCCCTGGTGCTTCAGTGGCTAAGACTCTGAGCTCCCAATGCAGGGAGTCCAACTTCACTCCCTGGTCAGGAAAATTAGATCCCACATGCTGCAACTAAGACCCAGCACAGCCAAATAAATAAATAAGATTAAAATAGATAAATAAAATAAATTAAAAAAAAAAAATCCAGGCAGGAACTTCCCTGGCAGTTCAGTGGTTAAGACTCCATGTTCCCAATGCAGGAGGCATGGGTTTGATCCCTGGTTGGGGAGTCGGGGAACTTAGATCCCACATGGTAGAGAATATAAGAAGCCAGGCAGATCACCCAATGTGTTTATCACATTGCTGAACAACTAGTAAGTGAATGGAGAGGAATGAATCAAAGATTTTCGAGGAGTGAGTCCCCTTCCTAAATGAATGTGTTTTAGTTCAATGCAGAGAATGCCTGCTTTCTCGCTTAGAGGTGAAACATAGAAAATGTTTATTGAGAGATAAAAAATGATATTAAGAGAATCAAAATTAAATGTTTCATTTTACCATTCATATCCTGCTTAGTCCCAAAGTAAAGCTGTTTCTGTAAAAAGTGCTGCTTTTTGTGGGGAATAAGCAAAAGATGACAGCATGTGTGTGTGTGTGTGTGTGTGAGAGTTGCTCCGTCATGTCTGACTCTTTGTAGTCCACCAGGCTCCTCTGTCCATGGAATTCTCCAGGCAAGAATACTGGAGTGGGTAGCCATTACTTTCTCCAGGGGAGCTTCCCGGCCTAGGGATTGAACCCTGGTCTCCTGAATTGCAGGCAGATTCTTTACCATCTGAGCCACAAGGGAAGCTCACCAGCTAGCATAATAAACACATACATCTTCTGTGCTTTGTTATTCTGTGTATGCCCTAGGCTAGACAAAATGCTTCCCAAATCCAACGGGAACTTCTCCTAAAAGCCCTCTTTCAAAAGTGGGACAGTGATGGCTCAGGCTTTCTGGATCTGAAGGAAATTGATGAACTCTTGTATACATACAAGGAAGGAATGGAAAAAGAATCTATGAAGAAAGGTAAAAACAAAAGAATTTTCTTAAGTTGTGATAACAAGTTGACTTCAGGTTTCCCAGTATTGTGATATGCATGTGTGCTCAGTCGTGTCCGACTTTTTGTGACCCCATGGACTTCAGCCCATCAGTCTTCTCTGTCCATGGAATTTTCCAGGCAAGAATACTGAAGTGGGTTGCCATTTCCTCCTCATTATTATGATATATATACAGTTAAAATATTGGTTGTTCTAAAGCCATGAGATAGCATTTCACACTTCACATGTACTAGTGTGGCTATCATTTTTTTCAGCTTTAGTGAGATACCATTGACATGGAACATTGTGTAAATTTAAGCTGTATGATGTGTTGATTTGATATGCTTGTATTGTGAAATGATTACCACAGCTTAGTTAATACCTCCATCACCTCACATAATTATCATTTCTTTTTTGTGATAAGAACATTTAAGATCTACTCTCTTAGAAACTTTCAAGTATATAATATGGTATTGTTAACTATAATCATCACCCTGTATATTAGAATCCTAGAGCTTTTCTTGTAATGAAAGTTGGTGCACTCATTAATAATGTTTGAGCATCTTTTCATGTGCCTCTGGTCATTTGCATGTCTTCTTTGGAAATGTGTCTGTTCAGTTCCTCTGCCCATTTTTCAATCTGATTTTTTTTCTTGCTATTGAGTTCTGTGAGTTCCCTGTATATTTTGGATATCAACTCCTTATCAGATATATGATTTGCAAGTATTTTCTCCCATACTGTAGGTGGCCTTTTCATTTTGTTGTTACTTTTGCTGTGCAGAAGGTTTTTAGTTTGATATAGCCCCATTAATTTATTTTTGCTTTTTTTGCTTGTGTAGTTTGACTGTAATTTTTAAAATGGAAAAAACAGTGTTGGCAAGGATATGAAGAAATTTGAACCCTTGTGCATTGCTGATGGGAATGTAGAAAATGTCAGAGCAATCAGGAGTGAAACTGTTGTAGAGTGCTTTGTCCAAGATCTTAACTTTACATAGTTAGATTCCTTCTGTGTACCTAGCTACACATACCCATAAAACAATCCAAACCGACTTCACAGTCCTGCCTATTTTCCCTTCTCATTTTATCTTTCTGCCTCTACAAGGTCCGATTCATCTCTCAGGTCTGAATGACTTGCAAGTTTCCCCTAAATTTACTAAACTTTGTATTCTCCTTAATGACTTTCTCTTCTCCTATATTTTTCCTCTTCTGATGAATTCTTCTCAATCAAAAGCTACTAGAATTCTCATATAATAAGTTTTCTCCTTCATTTGCTTAGATCCCAAGATAAGTGATTTTGCTCTTCACTGGGTTTAAGGATTTATCTGACGACTTTGGCATAACAGATTTCAAATTCTTGAAGTATATGGTGCATGAGAGAAAAATTGATAAGGGTTAGTAAAGTTCTTCAGCCCTTTCAAAAATCATTGTATTGGTTGATCTTTAAAGTTACCTAAGTTGATCAACTGTCAGGTGTTCTGACATAATGAGGTGGTTTCCACTTACAAGATGGGAAAACTTCATAACACAGAACCATGGTCCATGGAAGAAAAGATATTACACGATGGGAGAGCTGGGTTCTGATATTTTATCTTTTACTAAGTAAGATTGCCAGGAGAAATATCAGTAACCTCAGATATGCAGATGACACCACCCCTATGGCAGAAAGTGAAGAAGAACTAAAGAGCCTCTTGATGAAAGTGAAAGAGGAGAGTGAAAAAGTTGGCTTAAAGCTCAACATTCAGAAAACTAAGATCATGGCATC